CTGCTCTGGCTTCATGTTACCCACCCAGGATACCAAGGTTGCCTGAAAATTCCTCTATCGGCAGGCTCTAATAAAAACCTTGCAACACTCCATTCCTGATCAAAACTTAAATCAGTGTTCATGTGTTTAATGGGACAGTTTACAATGAAATTGTTCAGCCAGTTTTGGGGTGCTGCTGCAAGAAATGCTAAACCCGCTTCTTATTCTAGCTGCACATGCATGTGGGCCACCCAGCTGTCAAAAACAAGATTCGCACTGGCCCTTTAATGACTGGACCGCTCCATTCATTCCACAGGGGAGAACTCACCAACAAAGAACTAGATATGCCAACGTCTAACATAAATACAACGAGTCACGGGGGGAAAGTGGAGGACACCACGTAGAAAATCGAGATAAAAGACTGTCTATGCTAAGAGTGGGTTTAAAATTAAGTAAAGAAGCAGACAGTCCAAGGCTGCTTTCCCGTTCAGCCGCATCTATCCACTTTATTGCAGGGGCTGAGCCCGCGTCAAGGTAGCCGCAGTAGTGGATCACTAAGCGGAAAACAAGGGTTTTTTCCTTTCAAAATAAAAGTAAAAGTAGGCCAAGCTACAGTACATCAAAGGTATCTGTATATTAATTCATTCACTCATCACTCAATTATATTATGCTACAATATTTATTACGACTAGTCTTTCTGATTTTTTTATGCTTTTACATTCATTGTAAATCATTTTAACTGTTGTTTTTACGATTGAATGCATCTTATGATTGGATTTTATAAAATGCCAAAACGCCAACATAAACAAGTTATCAGAGGTTCACTAAAATCTGTTAGAGTATAATGAATATCTTCTTTGTCCTTTATAAACAGACAGCTATATTTAGTTGTCTATTTTAAACGTTAACGAGGGTCAAAGTCGACCATAATGCTTGAAGTTGTGACCGGAAGCGGCCTTCGTGCTGCCGCGCAGCCTCACAGCGGTGCTGCTGACTGGAAACAGGATGCTGTCAGGCCGAAGAGACGCTCTGACCTAACGGAGAGAAACCGCAGCATCATCCTTTGTTTTCTGGAGCTGGATATCCAGGTAAGGACAACTAACCAGCTCAGTTGTGATGCTAACCTGTCTGCATTTCATAGCTGCGATGGCTGAAACGGCACTGACACTTCTGATGAAACGCAGGACCTGTCTGTTTTTCTTCATTAGCAGTCTTGTCGTAACTAAGGCTATTGTTCGGGATAATGCGATCCAGTCATTCGCTGAGGACACATCATATAACGTAGCACTTATCCGTTGTTCTGACGAAGCCTTATGAGAGGTGCTGATGTGATTTCGTGTGAGGTTAGGGGTGGTGGTGCAGAGCTAGCTCCCAGCGCAGGAGCACACAGGCATTCCGAGGTGTAACATCCATGGCTGTGCTGCTGTGACGGGGGGGTCGCGTTGCATTGCATTGCACTGCATCACCCCCACCACCAGCAGCAGTAGCAACGCGGGGACGCGCGCGCATGCAGGTGTAGTTGGTGTTGTCGCTTGTAAACAGCTCGTGACACATGGTATCACAGATAGGGACGCCTCTGAAATGCTTTGGGGACGTTTGTCTTCCTCCTCCATGTCACAGTGGCTGTAGATATACCTGCAGTATATGATGCTTATGCTAGCTTTGAC